TTCGGTTCGGTTAAGGTTCACTACAAAAGCTTCATTAGATAAATGTATGTGTTTCTTGCTAAAAGTGTTCATCATTTAGTGCGGGTTTCAACCATAAAAAGTGGTTTTATTATCGAAGTCGTAGATAAAGCAAAAAAAAAGTCAAAAAGTAGTTTTCGAAATTCAATGTCATAAATTAGTGTTTCAGGGTGGAAAGTTAAAGAAAAAATAAAAAAGGTGTTACAAATTTAAATTTAAAAAATAAATTTGAATATATCGCGAGTGTTAACCCAATATTTTTTTGTAGCAGCATATGGGAGTTTAAAAGGTAAGAGTTTTTATGTTTTCTATTTACATTTCTATTACCGCCCTCTATCGTTTGTTATTGCTGTCCGGAAGAATATATTATAGGGTTTGTAACTTAGCTGTATTGGTTGCAAACGAACGAAAAGTGGTGAATTAATTTACACAGATCAATATAATTTGCGCCAGGTACTAATTTAATTCTGAAACATTAAAGGACCGAAGATATACACCACATTATTATAACATACTTTTTCAATGTCTAATAATATTTTTCATTTATACACGTTTCCAACTCATCTTAACAAAAAACAGTAAGGAAAGTAGTAAAGTCGGACTGGGCCGACTATATGATACCCTTCACCACTTTGGGTATATTCATGAGATGTATTAAGGGGACCCCCACCATTCACGGTTTCTAACAATTGTATTTTGTGCCTTGATTTAATTCAAACATACATTAATTCAAGACTGTCCCTATAAAATTTCAAGCGAAAATCTCTACAAATTTTGAAGATATGGCAGATTTATTGTGTCAGCATCAAGCGACGGCTGATGGGCTTCTCAAACTTTAAACTCGGTTTTTCTCCAAACATTGTTTTTGCAAATGGCGGGCACGATAACTAATAACCCAATCGATTCCAAATTTGTACACGTCTCTCTGTGAGTGTATAGCTATCGTGTGAACTAGAATAAAGCCAATCGGTGAAGATCTTCCTTATTTTTTTAACTTTGTTTGTGGTCAAAAATAGCCTATTTTTCCAAAAAAAAACTTTTTTCAAAGGTCCTCCATTTTGTTAAGTCAGTCAATAACCCTAGTTCATACGAGAGCCAAAGCCTTTCTAACACCGTTCGAATTTTCGGATTCCGATGTTTCAGAGGGGAGTTATCATGCCCGCCATCAAAAATACTTTTCTTTAATCACAAAAAAGGACCCTTATAGGACCATTGACATGAAAATTTAAAGAACTTAAATATTTGATACACATGCCATTCTGCAATTCAATTTAAATTTATCGATTTAAAGCAATCTTGACACAATCTATTCGGTATGCTGCACTGTTTAAAATTTAATCTCAATCAGACACCCATTGATTATTTGGTGTACCATTAACACGAATAAGTCGAAATTATATATTGAAGCTATCTAAATCTGAACCGATATTGACGAAACTTTGTACACATCATTCCGAACCTAATTCCGTAAGCTATGCCAAAATTCTTGGAAATCGAAAAGTATATAGGGACTTAAGTCCATAATTTACATTAAATCGAAAGAAAATAAATATGGGAGTTATATCTAAATCTGAGCCGATTTTCACGATACTTAGCACACATCACTCTTAGACTCAATTCAGTACGTTATGCAAAATTTCGTGCAAATCGAATGATGATGATATATAGGGATTTTAGTGCACCATTTACGTAAAAATGGGCCGAAAATATAGATGGAAGCTATATCTAAATCTGAACAGATTTTTACGAAACTAAACACACATCCTTATAGGCTTAATTTACTACACTTTGCCAAATTTGGTGCATATCAAAAGTTATATAGGGACTTTGGTGCCCCATTTACCTTAAATCGTATGAAAATATATATGGGAGCTATATCTAAATCTGAACCGATTTTCACGAAACTTAACATACATCATTCACCAATTTCAATAGGGTTCGTCCTTGGTCCTTCCCATCGCATATAAAGTGCTGCCCAGCGTGCTGTGTGAACGACTGAAGCCAATGGCCAATCACATTATTGGACATTCAGACCTGGAAATTCCACCATATACCAGAATTTCACACAGCGCCAAATTCTGGAAAAGACCCACGAAACATAAATGGACACAATCCACCTATTCGTCGGCTACAGCCATGTCTGCGTTTGGCTATCCTGCAAAAGTAATATGACTATGCATTATAACTTTAACTGGCACAAGATCAGCAGTTAAAGTCGGAAAGGTTCTCTCAGTGCCCTTCAATACTGAACGTGGATTCAGACAAGCTGATAGTCGTGTCGTGTGATCTGTTTAACATCCTGCTGGTTAAGGTCATATGAAATACGAATATGCTACTCGCCTATGACGACGACATCGACATAATGGGTCGAACATTTGGATCTGTAACAGCCACCTTTGAACGAATTAAGGAGTCAGCCAAAGTGCGACTGGCTATAAATGGCGAGAAGGCCAAGCTGATGGTATCAACGCGCAAGACGTCCTGTAGACTCGGACCAACTGTGGAACTTGAAAACTTCAACTTCGTGAATGATTTCATATAGCTAGGTACCTAATAACATCAACTTTAAAATCCGTAGAAGAATGGTGTTGGCAAACATATGCTAGTAACGCCTGAGTAATCAACCGCCATCACAGCAAAACTAATAACATCAGCTCTTTGAGAGAAAATCTATGGAAGAAGAATGGTGATTATGGCCGTCAAAAACATATGACATCGACTAACGCAGCGATTGTAGTAATCAATTCAAAAGGCATATAAAACAAGAGGCCACCTTTCTTTTTTATGCTCACACCGTGCTGGTCTTTGATGTACTTGGATCTGAAACATAGGTAATTGCATAAATGCGGACATGCATTAATCGACTCAGAAGTTATTCTATGGATATTGTCCTATCCGTTCTATGTATATTGATATGTTTGGATTCTAGCTTCAGCCATTTCGTCGATTATGATTAATAATTTTAGTACTTTACTTTCCGTAGTCTTATATTACGAATGTTCACAAATTTGGAAACCTATTTGGGAGCCCTGACACAATCCTTGATTATCTCTTGATTTGAAACAAGTAAAAACAGCTTTTTTATACTCTCAACCATAATGTGCCTTTTGAAAATACCTAAAACCAATCGGAATGTTTCAGAGATGTTTGAAGAACTCAATAGGGAAAGTCGGGTTATATGCACCCTAATAACACAAACGAATGTTGTTCATGGAATAGTACTTCTAACTAGTAAAACTGTTTACTTGGTGTGTACAACTCAAAAAGGCCAATTCTGAGTTGTATATAATTTGTCTGCCTGAAGTCCTCGCAATTTCAACAGGATTTGAAAAAAGTGAGCTGTACAAAATGTCATTTAGTCCGGATTATTAATACATCCGGACATGCATAAATCGACTTTGAAAGTGATTCTATGTACATTCATCAAAAATAACAATGGGTCTATCCTATTTTACATGTTATAATCAAATGCACAAATAAACCTGTTACTATAGTGTGGGAAGGGTATATAACGAAATAATCAGAATTTTTGTTGGCATATAATAAATCTCGCTAGTAATTATTTTTAGTTGCTTGGCTGTTTTTTTAATTTAAAATTATTTTATTTATTTACTTGTTGTAATGTTCTGGTTGTTGTTTGTTTGTTGCATATTTATAATATTAACTTAGTTTAATGTATTTTTGTTTGCAAATTTTTCTTGTTTATTTATAATTGTTGTTGTTTTCTGTTTGTATGTATATGTAAAACTTAAAAGTTACAGATATTGGTTGTTTTTCTGTTCCACATTTGTTTTTGTTATTTTTTGTCAACTTCAATCCTTGTTTCTTTTTTTTGCAAAACACAAATAAAAATATTTTTCATGTTGTTGCTGTTCTTTTATAATAATATATACTTCATGTGTTTTTTGTTTATATCCATTAGTAGCTATAATTTAAGTAATTTTATTATTATTTAATATGTATATTTATATAATTGTTTTTGTTTTTTGCTTCATTTTTGTTTAAAACCAAAAACGTAAAAAAAAGAACGAACATTTCAGAATAGAAACACTACTGGATTACAAATGTAATGTGAAGGACATAATAAGGATGAAGAAGAGGAAGAAGGGATGATTGAAGTGATTATTTTATTTTTTTCGTTTAATGAATGCAGCTTCAATGTTGGGGGTAGGGTGTGGTGGGGGTTGGTTGTTACATGGGAACAGTTGAATTAAACAGAATACAAAACATACAAATTTAATAATAATAAGAAGAAAATAAAAATAATAATTATAAAATTAAAAAAAAAACTTATTAGAGACAAATAATATTACACACTACAAACTACTTTTGCAATATAATATAGGGGGGGGGGGGGCTGTTGGGGGACAGAGGAAAATATAAGAGATAGTATGTTTCTTTATATACGCTTTTGTATAGCAAAGTCCAAAATGATAAATGGATTATTCCTTGTGGTTTCTGAACTTCGCTGCTTGTTGTTGTTTCTATAAATCCAAATATAGGAAGCTATTCTTGCTTGTCTGCCTTCACTGACTGGTTGGTTGGTCGTGGACGACACAGCAAATTTGATGTTTAGTTGTTGTAGATGTTGTAACAAGCTAACATCCATGACATATAATAGATATATATAAGAGTAGTTGTAGTACACAATTACAATGAAAATATTTATAATTACACATAAGAAGCGCGAATAAACATCAGAGTAGTAGACGACAATTTGCTTTTTGTAATTTTATGATGAATAAATTAATGTTTGTCTATCTGTCTGTCAGTTTTTCTATTGCTGGTGATAATCTGGTTTTTTGGCATCAAAAAATATCCAACTTAAAGAGAAGAATGAAACAAACTAAGCAGCTTCACGAGTAGTAGAATTGGGTTTGTTTTGCGGGGGGAGCGTAGATGGATAATGGTGGTGGTGGGGTCCTATAGAAATATATATGTATATGTATGTGTTGTGGGTTCTATACATCATCATAATCATCCATTAAGTCTTAGCCATCCTCTTTGGGGGGAGTGAACCAACCTGGTGAAATACAAAACAAAAATTAATTTATATTTGTTTTTTATTGTAATATATAAATCAAACACTTACCATTCTTTTCGTGTATTTGAACCAATGATTTGAAACTCTGTTGCGCCTTCGCCAAACTGTATTGACCCTGCGATAAGGCCTGAGTAGGTAATTTAGTTATTCAAAAGAAAAATGCAATGCAAAGTAAACCACCACACCAAACAAAAGCATTTGATAGATAGATAAAACCCAAAAACTATGTAAAAGGAGGAATACTCTTATACTTACCTTGGTGGCTCCAAATTGTATGCGGGCCTTGCCCTTAACCAGTGTGGCAGCAATTTGCATAATCACAGCTTCCACGGTATAGGCCGAACTCCAGCCTTGTTTTGTTAGTAACTCCATGCAAATCGCTCCACCCAATAAGACATAACCACCTGCAAAACAAAACACAACACAAAGCAATGTTAAATAATACCCCATGAAAAAAAATTTGAAAATTTTTCAAATTCCCTCACCTGATATAATTGGATGTACCACACGCACAAAGGGCGGCTCGAATGGATAGGTTTCCTTGAATATGATATTTAAAAGAATACTATCTTTGCCTTCTTTTTCTTTGAGCATTATCAAATCGTTGTGTAATGGACTGTCAGGATCAACGGACTTAAGGCGTATATTCCATTCGTATATGGAGTCATTTACTAATTCTATGGAGTACATATTGCTCTTAAATGAATCAGAACGATAGATATCACGTAATTCTTTCATTAAGCGATCGGTTGCTTGAACGGAACCGGAAACAGAACCCTACAGAAAGAAGAAACGAAGGGAAACGAATATTAGTTTAAAATAAAATGATTATGATATGCAAAAGAATTAGAACTTGTTCCTAATAGGTCCAAACTTCATATTTGCCCTCTATCAGTTTAAAATGAAGTATCCAGTCCGTTAGCATGCTAAGGGACTCGTCCTCAGTTTGCGAATAGTGGAAAGCCAAATATTCTTCTTCTTCAATAAATAGCGGCGGACAATCAGCGGATCCTGAGGGTGTCTCGAAGGAAATGGCCGAGTGCCTATGATACCAGCACTGACATGGTGAGAATAGCGCCTCCAACTATCCAATTATCAGGTCTTAAGTCACTCCCTTCCTAAGTGGCCTCTCTAACGATGGGGTGTTAGGCAACCTCGTGCCCATGAGTGTTTACGGTTTGCAGTAAGGGTTCCGACTATATTTGAATGGAGCCTTGTTGATACATAGGCGCCTCAACATGGGCATGGACTTGAGGTCATGGCTGACCTCAAGTCCTCACTCAATAAAACTTCTAATGGAGCCGACTTTTTAAAAACAAAATATTAAAGGATGCGATTTTTCGATTGATGTTGCTGCCTTGGCACCCTCAGTCTCGAACTCTACAGGATCAGAGTTCAATCAACCCCTATCAACGGTGACCAATGCTACGTACCGAACCATTATTTGTCTCATCAAATCTCATTACTCTCCATAATGTCAATGCAAACCTAGAGAGGCATAGGGACCTTCATCTCGACATTATTCCGCCTTTGTCAGGAGAGTATCCCGACTCAACTCTGGGATGACTCGCCCTTGACATACGAGGAAGACGCTATGGATACCACACAGCACTACGGTGATTAATACGATGACTACCCTAGTGACTTCTCCAAATCATTCCGACGACGTGCAGTGAAATCTCGAGACTTATAAGGAAGTAGAGACTGGTGTTGATGACCTTCCCATCGAAAAGATGGATGAATCACCAACACAATGAACTACCATTCGCGTCAATGCCAGAGATTTCGGACAAGAAGATTTATAGGAGAGCAGTTGATTTCTGTAACCGGCTTATTGGACGGGACAGGGATTCGATTATAAATAAGGAATTCCTTCTAACAAAGAGTAGCCCTTCCAAAGGAGAAGATTGTGAGTAGTCTGAGTCAACCAGGACGATTATGGCGAGGACTTCTAAGTAATCAGCAACCTCCAAGGGATCCCTGAGTGTTGAGAAGTTCCTAACACCATCCTCCACTCCAATTAAATGTAATGTAGTGTGCCGGGCCCGGAGAAAGTCGGTAGAAATGCTTCCAGAAGGCTGATATAACAGCGGCAGGTTGCAAGGCATCCATACCTAGAACAGTCGGATCACAATCGCTTGATCTCGACGACACGTGGCTTGTGGTCTCACCAACGATTTCCGCCGGCATTGGGTTATTAACTCTTTATTTCACCTATTCAACACACAATTGTAACACTTACCTTTAGATAGTCTTGTCGTTGACTTTGACGCAGTCTTTCTAGTGTTGCTAAGTGTTCAACTTCCATTTCGTCCTTCTAGAAAAAATGGAAAACAAAAAAATAATTTCAGCAATTATTCCAAATACATACAAGATCGGCACACTTACTTTATTCGTACTGCGAACATCGTCCATTTCAAGAGGAAGATCTTCATCCGCCTCGCTCTCCTGTTCACTATCGCCAATGGGATCTTCGATATCATCTTGATCTGATTCGATATCCTCAATTTGATTCTGATCTGCAGGCTGTTGATTCAATGATGATGAACTATTAGGTGGTGGCAATTGAAACGGTATTGTGAGGTTGTCTATATCGGGCGGCAGTGGTACATTATGTAGGCGGCATAATTCTCGTAATAATATGCCAACCTGTTAGATACAAAAACAAAAAAAAGTAAGCATAGTATGATAAATTAGCACAGTGCCATAGAAAATTGGGTCACAACAAACCATAAACACCAATAAAGAAAAAAACACACACACGCAAAAAAGAAGAAAATAAGAAAATGTAAACCTAATAATAAACCAATCAGATAAATAAACAAACAACCACACCAAAAAAGAAAGGTCATTTGCGAGAGTTGCAAAGTTAGCACACGGCAAAGCACAACGAACTGACCTGGTTTATGACATGGTTATCACGACCATTTGTATTGCTTAGTATTTGAACAGCATTTGTTACGCTTGTCTCTTCACTTTCGGCAAACCAAACTGGGGGTGATGATGGATAAGTTTCCTGAAAGTAAACAAAAACAAAAAATGTGATAAATATATTATAAACAAATTGGTAATAGGGAATCTAATCACTTAATTAATTGTCTACCAACAACGACAAAAGAAAAAAAAAACGATTATGTCTAAAAATAAATATATTTTGAATGCAATAATTTCCCCCGGTTTTTGTTTTGTGTAGGAAACACAAAACATGTATTTCGATTTTATTATGCGTTTTTATTAAAAATATCTTTTATGACACATTGAACTTGGGGGTTCATTAAACTGTCAATAAGTTAATAATTAAACAAAACAATTAATCGTATTTGCTTAAGAGGCCTACAAAAGCAGCAATTCTGTTTTTTTTCATATAACCAAGTTGACACATGTTATTATTAAATACAGTAGCTAGAAATTAGTTTTCGTATACGGGATAGGGATTATATGAAGGAGGTAGGGAAACAAAATGTCCATACCCTACATCATACCTAACAACTTCTAAGCGGAGTTGTTTGTATTCTCCAATTCTCGAAGAACCCTTCTAAAATGCGCTCTTTGCTCCAGCATTCCCTTCATCCGTGTCTTATTCATTTGGGAAAAGTAAAAAAGAATACGAAAGTTGAGACATGATAATGGATTTGTATTTGTGCCAGAAACTCAGGCACATGCATCGATGTGTGAACTGGTTCGTTATAATAGTTCAAAAATTTATGATTGGGTTTCTACAATTCTGTGTGTGTTTCCGACGAATTTCATCTTACAAACAGTGCATAGCAGTGGATGATTGTGTCAGGGATTTCTCCCCAGTGTTAGGGAGAGCACTTAGGAAGGTAGGAATTGGATATTTGAAGGCGCCATTCTCGCCTCGTCAGTCCTGGAATCATAGGCATTTCCTAAGAGATTCTCCCCCAGGACCCGCTGATTGTCCGAGACTGTTTATTTCATATTCACAGCTACCCAAAGAATAATTTTGGGCTTCCCACTCTCCGCAAACCTTTGGACGCGTCTGTGAACATTCCTGTATATGAAGAACAGATCTGCAAATTCCTGAGAAGGAAGAATTTGTCCTCCTTCGGTCAAAGTCTTCAGATGTCTAGCGCCAGCTGTTGTGAGATTATGAGGATAAACAACTACATAGCTGATCTTGTAAGATTCTCCCATCTGAGGAATATGAAAATATCCAGTTTTGGAAACACTTACAGCTGTAGGCTGTGTTGGGTACCAGGACACAGTGACATCATGGGTAATGAAAAAGCCGACGAATTAGCTAGACGAGGATCTCAAACCACAGACCTAGCCATCGATTGTTTAATCAAACCATACATCTGTCATCTTTTCGGAACTTTGAGGCGTTCTTCGACAAACGAGCCAATGAACTCTGGCACAACAAAACTAGGTGCAATGTGTTAAGATCTATCTGGCCGACTCTGACAACCAAGAGAACAAACTCACTGTTGGACCTGGGCAAAGCTGATATTAGAGTAATGACAGGAGCCATTACCGGTCATAGCAATATCAGGGCCTTTACCAGTAAATGGGACCATGATGTTACTAATTACTGCAGACTCTGTGCTGATGAGGGGGAGACGGAGACAATTGATCATCTCCTGTGTCGCTGGCTAGTTCTGGCCTACAGACGGCAAAGACTAGTGGGTGCTCACTTTACACCGTCTCTTCTTCTTTTCAACTATGGATCCTGCTTTAATCTACAGCATCATTAGAAACCCAAAGTGGTTGGGAAAGTGCAACCTTAGCACGTAATATGTTTTTTCTCTCCTTCTTGAGCCATCGAAACTATTCCCACCTTCGTCTTTAATACTTCTTGTTAGCTTCCTATTCTTTCTTCACCGGCTCCTATATTATTATCGGCTGTATTCTGCCAAACATTTAGTCCACTATTTGGCGGAGTAGCAACAAGAACACTACCCAGTGAACTCATTAAAACCCCATTGCAACAATGTCATGGGCCGTCTTTTGTTCCACTGAAAACATATATGCTCTTGTTGTTGTTTTTAATACTTCTTCGTTTGCCTAATTTAACTCGCAGAACAAAAGAAAAACGTCATTTGGGATTTATCCCTATTTATTTTTTGTATAAAAAAACTTCGCCTTGAAATATAAGACTTGTTGGGCCGCAGAGCAAACAAACAGTGTGCAGAGTGACGTAGCCGTCCCGTTATAGCTATGTACATAATCGGATATGAATCACTTAAAAAATACACACAGGGGTTAAAGTACTGATGTTTCTCATCATCTCAAAGATTAACAAAAAAGGGAATGCACGAAAAAGGGTCCGTCATCATCGTCGTCTATGTAGGAGCTGCTAAGTTTTAAATTTCAATAAAGTGAAAAAACAAATTATTACATTGCTCAAAAGGGTTAAAAATTACCAAAAAAGCAAATAAAGTACACACACTGCAGTTTAACTGTGACCCCCCACAATATGAAAAGTAAAAGCAAAAAAAAGAGAGTAAAAACAAATAAGAAGGGTAATGACTGCTGTTGTTACTTTGTGGAGCTACTAGTATATACAGGAACAAATGCCCAGCATACAAGGAGTATACAACCAATAGAAATGATGAAGAAAGCAACAAACAAATTGCCCATCCAGGCAATGAGGGACCAACAGTGACGGTGACACAACAAAGCCGCTAACCAAGCAAGTGAAATTGTAATTTAACCTTTAATTAGAGCATTGAACTAAACAACCAACCATCCAAGCAGCGGCAGCAGGCAGCGGAACCACATAACAATGCATCACATGTGTGTATACGTCGTATATTATATACTTATTACCCGGTTTTGTGTGTCGTGTCTACCCTTTCAGTAAAACCAAAAACTCTTTCATCAAATGGCGGTACATTTAACAAATGCAATTTGTTAAATGTACTTGATTTTTTTATTTGTTTAGCAGCAGCTACTTCTCTGAAAGGTATTCAAAAAACCGCAATAAATAAATAAATCAGGTATGAGCAATACTCGTATGTAGGAATTTTTTAATTCATTAGAATACGGAAGTAAACACTCGGCAATCCGTCAATTGCGATAATAAAAAATAAATATCGAAAAAGAGAAACGAAAAGAGAGATGAGGAACCGCTACTCTGCCTCGTAAACCTATATCAATACTGCGGGTCTTCACATAGTATTTAAGAGGTGGTTTGGCAATAGCAGCTACAGTGAGCAAGCTCCTGAGCTACTTCGTTTGATGCTACCCTATAGACTCCATCTTAGAATTTAAAAATATTACGATTTGCAAAGTTTGAATCAAACTAGACATTTCATTATATTGCTATTGGATTGACACATTTTCAAATATTGACCCTTTGTGGGAAAAGTACCAGAACGAATGGCTCACGGGTTCCATATTTAAGCTTGATCTATGTAAGGTAAATACATTACCATTTCCAAAGTTTGGATGAAATTGAATATTCCGTTACCCGGATCTATGGGACGAGGTAGGTTAGGTTAGGTTTGGGGATGTGCAGTCACTAATGTGGCTGCAGCACTCTGAAAGAAAAAGATCTATGAGGGAGAAAAGAAGGGGGATAGAGAGAGATGAGAATCTTACAAGGAAGTGTGAGAAGGTAAGTATGAGATAATATCGATGGCTATAGAGATCGGACAGAAGATATATTACGTGCCAAGGTTGCAGTTTTCCAACCACTTTAGGTTTCTAATGATATTGTAGATAGAGCAGGTTCCGTTATTGAGAAGAACCTAAGACTCGGTGGAAAGTGAGCACCCACTAGTCTGTGCCGCCTGTAGGCCAGGACTGGGCAGCGACACAGGAGATGTTCAATTATTTCCGTCTCCTCCTCGTCAGCACAGAGTCTGCAGTAATCAGTAAAATCAGAGACCCATTTACTGGTAAAGGCCCTTATATTGCAATAACCAGTACTGACTCCTGTCATTAATCAAATTTCAGCTTTTCTTAGGTTCAACATTGAGTGTGTCCTTTTGGTAGACAGAGTCGGCCAAATAGATTTTGACACATTGCACCTAGGTTCGTTGTGCCAGAGTTCATTAGCTCGTACGTCGAAGAACGCATCAAAGTTCCGATAAAGATGACATATGGGTGGTTTGATTGAGCAATCGATTGCAAGATCAGTAGAATGAGATCCTCGTCAAGCTAATTCGTCTGCTCTGATGGTGTCACGGTGTCCTGGTACCCAACACAGCCGATAGCTGTAAGTAAGTTCTTCCAAAACTGTTCTACACTTGAGAACGACCTTAGATTTGATGTAACAGGATTATATGGCTTTAAGAGCCGCTTGAATATCCACAAAGATAGTCACCGATTCAACGATCTCTGCATCCAGACTTTTTATCAATTTCGCTGCCTTCCAAATAGCGAAGATTTCAACTTGGAAAACACTACAGTTGCTATACAGTTGTAGGTAAACTCAAGTCCTAGTCTTTCACAGTAGGCGCCAGCGCCTGTACCTTCTTCCATCTCGCATCCGTCTGTATAAAAAGCTAGACCGTCCAGAGGAGGGTTGCTACAGTTCCAGTCGTCTCTACTAGAGATAACGACATCTATATCGTCAAATCTCAGGACTGGTTATATAAAATCGCTTAGTTTTACGCGTTGGTCCAATGTTCAGGATACATCGGGCATGGATGTACAGGTACAGTTCCGCCATAGATTTGTTCATGCAGGCTTAGGACACTAGGACGTACTGCCTGACACTAAATGCTGAGACACAGAGGCCTTAAGTTCAGCCTTGCGTTCAGAGCTGCTTGTGGAGTGCTCCTCGCGGCTCCAGTTATTCGAATCGAGGCGGCTCTTTGTACATTGTCTAGTTTGCTGGATGTCACTTGTGGCGTGTTATACATCAAGTGTATAGTCGATTGTTTTAGCCCCCACCTTTCCCAATGGTGTTCTTGAATAGAGTGCAATCTGCCCTCTTTTCGCACGTTTCTCGGCGTTCCTATTCCATCGTAATTGACAGTCCAGGATTGTGCCGAGGTATTTTGCTTCGGGCGACAGATGAAGCTGCAACCCATTCAGTATTGGTGG